AAAGTGTGTTTTTCACGTTAGTGAGTATGCCTGGTACGTTACAATTATTGCATAAATTGTCTCGCCTCTAGCGTTGGTATTGCGGTAAAGTATCTCTGACTAGGTATTAGGCTGTTAGGATTCCTCCGGACGACGTTGATACTGTTACCAACGACTGCCACCACACCAGTAATAAGATATACCCACCTTTATTAACATTTTTACCCCATCACATAGAAGAGTTCGAACAAGGGACATAACTTCATATCAACACTATTACTCAACTGTCACTATATAGATATAGTGGCGGGGAGCGACCCAACACTAATTAATATCATTATCGTTCGGAGAGAGTAAACAATGTCTTTGTGCATGCATTTAAGATTCATATCAATTAAAAAAGTTCGCCTTGACACATGGCTCGCGAATTAAGTTTTGACTAATTACATAATTTTATATAGTAAGACATCATAACAAAATGGCGAATTAAAACGAGGCTACGTTAAAACGAAGGTCACGTGATGAACTCGACTATCTCCGATCGAATCAGTAATGGATGGTAGACACAACAGCAAGTATTGATTTGCGTTAGTTAGAAGTTGATAATCTTTATGAGTTTCTTTCAGAGAGTGTTACAATTTTGTGAAGAGTATAATTTTAAGTATTTCAATGCTTGCCAGAAATCAAAAGCACGGGAAAAGGTAACGAAATCTAACCATTTAGTCCCTTTGAAGAGTACAAACTTATGTTTGTTAGGTGAAATACTCCTTTTATTGTTTTATTTATGAATTCAAAGGAGAAATAATTCGTATGTTACATGTTGTACCGTTTTTTTCTTTGCCGTGAATTTTCTTTGCAAATTCTGTTTACCAATCACGACGACGCATGAAACTCATCAAATTACATAGAAATGCTCGCGGAATGTCCTGCTATATGCCTGGCAATGTAATGTGTCCCAGAGAGTTCGGTTCCTTTTTACCTCAAACATCTAGAGACAAATCTGGAGGCACAACAGGCCAAGTTAGCACGGTGACGTTCTGTTGATGTAGATATGTCCCAACAACACGTGCAATATGAGGTTGTGCATTGACCTGCTGCAAAAAATGTTAAACTGGCTTTTACTATCAAACAAAACTGGACGGATAGCAAGACGTCGCGGCTCTCGCATTCTTTTCTGTACAGTTCTGGAATTGACATTACCCGGCAAAAAAGATAATAATAATGAATTAACGAAAGCTTACAGTTTTCAGCAATAGACAAGCTTTCATTACTTCAAAAGATAAGTCTTTGAATCATAGACGAGTATATTTTGATCAGATTGTTACACAGTAACACATTATTTAAGCTTTTGACAAAGTCAGTGCTGTGTCTGTTGTATTAGCAACTATTTGATTCACACATCGGGTACATCAGCAATCTGATTACAAATCAGCTGTTACATGGCTTCGGTTACTATGTACTATGATTAATGATCAGGAAAAAGCACATCACAGCTAACTTAATAAGCATGTTGAAACAAATACAAAAATAATGAATTAATCACTGTCATTTGTTCACCAACATGCACTTTCCACCACCGGTCGACAACTACAGACTGTTACAAAAATTCCAAAAATAAAACTTTAATAAAGAATTAAGTGCGACATCATGAAAGTTTAGGTTAGAGGGGTAGGATTGCTAGTTGCGCACCCGCCTGTCATCTAGCCGTCCGGGGTTCCATTCCCGGAATGGACGTGAAAAGGTTTGGGGTCACCTGCCCGACCAACAGGTACCCGAGAACTGGGTTAATTAATTGCTTAACACAAAAAAAACCATCAATTTATTGACAAGTCTATATAGTGTGAAATACGGACGAAAGGTCAATAAATGGGTGTTTTTTAGTTAATCAATTAATTAATCCAGTTCTCGCGGTAATATACGAAGTTGGATATTTTGATGCTCGTTAGTTTGTCTATTAGTTGCGTTGTTGTATACTTTGTTCACATTTGAGGACGTGACATTTCTTAATTGGATTGACCAAGATATACATGGTGGGTGTAGTAGAGGAAGCAGAAGACGCTTACTCTTAGCGACCACCTGGTATCATTCTCCTTGTACTGATTAGTAGTATCCGTGCATATCTAATTTTTTGTTCAATTTTTGTACTTAATTAAAATTAAACCAATCAAATATTTTGCTTGTGTCTTCAATTTTGCCTCGAAATGTTCCAAGATACTGGAGTATCGAGGATAATGTATGTACTGCGAGGCGAGTTTGGTTGATAACAATGTAGAAAGTGGATCAATATTGCCACTTCTATCCACTACGGAAGAGCATCAGGGCCATGCAGAAAAAAAATTGATAAAAGAAATAGATAGTTATAAATCGAAACTTTGACTTACTAACTCGAAATCGCGACTTTCTGAATCGAAATTTCAAGACAGAGTTATTAACATGAAAAAAGCGAAATTAATTTTTCTCTACGTGGCACTAATATTCATTGATCATCCATTGTATAATACTCGCTCGAAAATCCTTTATAAAATTTTTGTTGCGTTGTAAGTTGAAACCTTGTTTACGAAATATTCCGACACAGCAGGATAAGTATAAATAATGTGTAATTAATCTCTCGTACCAGAGCCAAACACAGAGCATGTCAACAGGTCAACTGATAACACATCAGGTGTGTGGAGTTTGTTACACTGATCGCTCAGTCATCACACCTATTTGTAACAATTATTGTGTAAGGGCAGCGGTGTCTGAAATGCATCTTGCCTTTATTCCGGTCTCTGCATTTCATAATTATAATGCTGTGTTCACCCGACAAATCCCGGTTTTACTTGAGACAAGAACTTGCTGATTTGCCGTCCCAGCCGTCTCTTTCTCTCTCTTTCGTAACTGATATGACACTGTGACACTATTGAACAATATGCTTGTCTTACATGGTCATGAAGATAACATATGGTGTTTACAAATGTTATCAACGATTGTTTTCGATTGACGATTTCATTTCTAATATGAAATTATTCCATCAATCGATAAAAGAAATCCGATCAAAAGACTGAATTTTCCGGTGTTCGGGTCATTATCATAAGAGTTGCTGCCCTTGAACTTCAGTAAAACATTTCATCGACGCCGATCTGTCATAGAAACGAAGAAACAATATGGCGGAAGCCTAGCTGTTAAAATCATAAAGAATGCATTTCATATGTGATAATGGATAACTATGGCCCGGGTTAAGATTAAAGTGTATGCGGGTACATATCAATATCCTTTGGCAGCTTTCGTAGATAAGACTTACACTGCATGTGTACCACAGTGGAATGAAAAGTGACATTTACAGTAAGTTATATAGCAGGCGGTTAATCAGTCAATATTTTTTATTGCAAAATAAGTGTTCTGTCAATCACACAAGCGTCAATAATGTATTTGTTATTATGATTAACCTTGTATGATAATGCATACTATATAGTGTTGTACATACCACATAAACATGAAAGATGGGGAAGTTTGGACTCCACAATAAAGCGATGCCGTCCTTTAGTCTTGTAGTGTCTGACCAGTGATGTGCTGGGTTTTTGGACCTGTTTATTATTCTTATGCTTCCTTGGATGTTATTTGATGGAAGAGTTGTCAATCTAAACAAAGGGTGTACTACAGGACACAAACGTTGCACAACATACGCGTTTTTTCACAACGTTTAAAAGGATATATTGAACTGAATCCATTAGTGTTTTTGGAAGTTTTCTGTTAAGACATAGTGTTGTGACATTGTGTAATCAAGCTCCCAGGTATGTTTACGAAAACATATGTATTTTGTTGTTACATGTAGTAACCTCTTCTAGAAACTAGGCAAATGGGGTTAAATAAAATTCAAATTTCTTCATTTGTATTGTGTTGAATTCAACCTATACTAAACATCAAGAACTTATTTTATAGATGTTTATATCCTCATATGTAATTCACGTATGATATACAATAGCTATTGGACAAGAAGTTGGGAAGCTTACAAAGCATGACCTTAACACTATGCATTAATGTTTGGTAACAGTTAGTGTAACAAAATCTTGGAATTAGTGTTTGATAAAATAAATAAATTGATGGTATTTAAAATCTTATATTCTCATAATTTCAGGGTTTCTGTCAAAATTGTAAAGAAGTAATCTGCAAAGATGATGCGTCAAAGCAGGATGAGTATGAATACTCCCTCTCTGTTTGCATGTGCAGACAAAGTCAAGGTCCCACAGCTGGGATCTGAGGACACAACAACCTCCTTGGACCTAATGATTTCACGCAGAGGAGGGCGGGAACCAACTTCAGTTGTATTTCGTACAAATCAACTGAAAGAAGAACCTGTTCAAAAAGATTACTTGAAAAAGATCAGCGGGGATATAAGATTTGAAAAAGATGTAGTCAAGGACCGCTGTTTTCACATGCTTCCTTATGATGAAAAATACTTATATGAAGCTTTGACTCCACATGGTCTGGTTGCACCAAAACCTAAAATGAAGATACCTCCCGGGAGACATGATGCCAGAAACACTGACAGACGCCACATGCCATGTAATCTCACTGTTTCCACAAAGCCCCAACTAAAACCACTGAAGAGGAAGATCATGGAAAAAGCCATGCAAATGCATAAAGATGCGCTGAGGAAAGCTGCTCTTGAAGAACAGTATAATCCAATGTTGAAGAGCAGCCAGGAAGATTTGGGAGGATTTTTTATGACTGAAGTAAAGTCAGAAAAAGAATTGCCAAAAAAAGAAAGGAAACCAGTTTCTGCTCGAAAGGAGGTCGAGAAACCGCTATCAAGTAGAAAAGACAGCAGAAAGGGAACACCAGTTTCAACATCTAAAACTGATAAACCTAATATTGAAAAAATAGAAGAATTGCCAGAAGCACCTAGTCCAACAAAATCTGAGAAAAAGAAACTTGTAGAATTACCAGATATTCCCATCCTGGAAGAAAAAGATTTTGATTGGGATGGATTTGTTTTGTCAGAATTGAGTAAGTCCTCTGCAAGCTGGCTTGTGTATGAGAGGATGAAGACAGCAGAAGATAAGGAAAAAATGCAAGCCATGTTTGAGGGTTGGTATGGGAAACCAGATCACAGTGAGCTAATAAGAGAGGAGATGGATGCTGCTGAAAAAGAGGAAAAGGCTGATGAAATAAAGCCAAAGAAGAAATGGAAAAAAAAAGAAGCTACGTAAGTAAGATTTCCTGAAACTTGATTGATTTTGATATTATAGAAATGGTTACACATTTTGTGCAGTCTTTAACTTAATTCCTGCAATTGTCATCATGGTTTTCCACATTGAAATTATTCCCAAGAAATTGTCCTGAAATTTTATAAGTTTATCTTAACCTTGTTGAATAATGCTTCTACTAGTGCCATTATCTTCAGAAATTGTTCATAAATTGTGCTCCCAACTCATTTCAAGATTATTTTTTCATTTCATAAACTGGTTTTTAAGTCAGTTATGTATTGCAATATCCTTTTCATACTTATGATACATCATTTACAATCACATGGCTTTGATAATTGAGGGGCTTCAATTTTTTATCATTTATTTATCATCTATTTAATGTAAACAAGTTTTAGATAACCCCAATGTTAACAGTTGGTACTCCCTCTGTCACTGTGAAACAATTATTTTTAGAATAGACAATTCACAGCTTCTGTCATTTTACAATAAAAGTGGTCTTACCTCATTATCAACAAAGGTTTACTATAGTCTGCTGTATGATTTATATTTCAGCCTGCTGGCAAAGGTTTACAACTTAGAAGGTACAAAGCCTGAAGCCAATGACCCATACTCTGAGGAAAACAAAGCTCCTTTCTACCGACAGCCAGCAGGAATACGGCGCGTGAAGAAAAAGCAGGAGAAGGAAGATGCAGGTATATATGAAAATATGATTACACATTGGTTTAGATGTATGATGATAAGTACATATATATTAGGCTAGCATATTATAGGGACTTCTTGTCAGGTAATATATATGATTGATAGTCTTGTATTACTTAATTTTAAGACAAAAAAAGCAGAGTTTGCATTGAGACATAGTCATTTGAAATTAAAAAGGTCCTCAAGTATTTTCAGGGGTACCTTTCAAAATATACAGAAGGACCCCAATTATAAGATACCGAACTGAAACCCTGGTACAGGGGGTCAGTAAATATGGATACATATGTGGGATGTTGACAGAACTACTTTGTAGCCAGTATATTATGGCTATAAATATATTCTTCCTGACTTCTACTGTGCTACATTCAATAGGTAGATATGCTATTTGATATGATGATAAACTTCATAATTTTCACCAAATATCAAAATTTTCCTCTTGTAGTTTAGAAAAAGAAAACAAAAATATTGTTAAGTAAAATGTGTTATTGCTTTTGAGATTTATCGTTTGAATCACCATTATTGTGTGGGAAAATGTCTCACAGACAGTTCTATATTACAGTTTATAGATAGATCTAGCTGATGCATATTGAATGAAATACTTCTATCATGATTTCATCAAATGAATCACATTTGTTTTTAAGACAAAGGTTTGAAAATCATGATTTGTGTAAATTCAGTGACATAAATATCTATGATAAGATTTTTGTTTCAGCTGTGTTTGACTTAAATGGTAATGAAAGCACAATTAAATAGCACATGAGGTATAGTGAAACCTGTCTAAACCAACTCTATGACATATAACATATTAGTCATAAGTCATATCATAGGTGAAATTAGGGAAGATTGGGGGGGTGATCAGTTTAGACAGTATGTCAGATCATAATTGTCTTATCCAACACTGTGAGAAATACATGTAGGTGATTTAAGATGATGTGTTGGATTATAATTATCTTATCCAACACTGTGGGACATACTTGTATGTGTGTTTAGACAATTTGTCAGATAATATATTCTTATCCAATATTGTGGGACATTTGTGTCATTTTAGGTAGTCAAATTACAAAGGTCTGATCAAGCACTGTAAATTATTGGTTAAACGACATGTTAGATTACAGGGGTCTGATAAAACACAAGGGTCTGTGATAACTTGGCTTGTAGAGGGTTCACCTAAACTATGTAACCTTAGGGAAAAATCCAAGGTGTGTGGTTTGACACTTCCAATGCGTGATGGTTTGTGTTTCTGAGATACAGATAAGTCTATGTTATTTGGTTGTGTACATGAGCAAGACACTTTACTCAAAATTTGTCGCTCAGCATGGTATATGACAGGCCTTCAATATGTTGTTCAATGAGGTAGCCACCACCTACTACAATAAGTCTACAATTCTACGTTACATGTCAAAATGACCCTGACAATTCACGAGGCTATTTGATTATTTAGGGTTTGGATATGACAGGTTTCACAATACTAACATTATATATATGACAGACTCAAACAAACTACTGCATCTATATACTTACAACATTACAGCATGCTAGTCCTCTCTATGATCATTTCTGCTACATTTCAAACTGCATTAATTTTTAATTATAGTACTCAGTTTAACAAGTCTAGCACAGATGTGTGTCATGGTCATAAACTTAAATGAAAAAAGACTTAATCCTAATCATAAATGAGAAAATTTTAAGTATGTGCATCACTGTCTTATTTCATAAAAATATCAGTCTAGGTATCAGTGATACTGTCTGTAGATAGTTCCCATTTTACTTATTATTATCATACATCATTATTTGTGTATCATGAATGCTTGGTCACCATTGGACCTGCAATCATTTAAGTCGTATTTCATTTCATCAGATCAGTTGTCAAGTTTTAAAAGATTTTTGATAATAAATGTTTTTGAGAAGACGTATTATGTGTCAACAGTATTTAACGATTTAAAATTTGTCAAATATCTATCATAATTGCTTTGCTGGAGAACACAATCAATTGTATGTTTATACACATACCTATATCTGATCAAAGTTAGAGTTTAGCAAGTAGAAGGAGTTTTTCTTACTGCACATAAACATTTAGAGCTCCACAATCCAAGATGGTCACTGGTAGCCATTTTGAATGTTGGGTCAACTCAGAATCGAAATTGAACGGGAAAGTTTCCTGGAAATCAATGCTTTCTTAAGTAGTCCCTTTCTATTACTAAAATAAAGATAAATCATAGATAAAAAACATATTAGGTGAGAAATGATTTAGCCAGCTGATATAAGATGGTCGAGGAGTAAAGGGAGATAATCACCTGACTGTGAAAGACTGATAGCTTCTGGTGTTATTGCTTTTGTGATATGTAAAGAGTCATAATTTGTGAAGAACTTAACTTGAAAAATATTTAGAATTGAAAATTGTAATCTCTTTACAATATGATGGGATTGCCACATCTTAACTTCCATGGAATTTGTGTTTTAGAATGAAGATTTGAATTGTTTTTATTTACATTTAAATACAAATGCAGTTTACCAAGGATACATATAATCCAGATCATATCATCAGATTTATATCTTTCATTTCCATTTTTTTCTTTTTCTTTTGGTTTTAGTTTTAGGACAAAAAGGTAACTAGTATGGATGCCTGTGGATTGTCGCGTGTATGAGGTTTTGAGCTTGTAGAGAAGGACTGAGAGTAGAGACTCACATTTAGATCATGTTTGTTGCTGTAAGACAGAATAATGTACGTGTCTCTGTCACTGATTCTGTTCTTGTCGAGTTGTAATATTTCCTAATTGTTGTGGAAACAGAAAATTCTCAAACTGTTTCTTTATTGTTCTGAAGTTGTAATCTGGGCTTTTAATGCAGATCGATAGAAAAGGAAACAGAAAAACATATGTATATATATAAATTATATTTAAAAGACAAATCTAACCTTATCAAGCACTTTGATACTTGTGGTTTTGTGTCTTTATCATAATCACGATCTCATCATTATTATATATTTGATCTTTCCTGACCAAGTTGAAATGGCAATCAAGGTATGTTTCTGTATTGTCTGTTTGAAGCCCAGACTCAGGATGGAACACTAAAATTCTGTAGTGATGTTCTCATCTGTTCTTGTTACTGGTGTAATTTGTGTAAACATCTGTGAAAGCATGTCATGTCCAACAAAGTCAGAATTCACAGGATGCAATTAGAAATGTTGGTACAAGGAGATTGCAGTTGTCAAAAAACTGTTTTGTTTGAAAAAAAAGAAAGACTCGAATTATAAGGAAAGTATCCACAATGTTTGTAAGAAAAAATGATATGTGTTTGTTTCATTACCTGTATTTAAGTGATTGTTATAGAAATTAACTTGTTAGAAGAGTGTGTGTTGTGGATGTCTTAATTTGTCAGTTTCTGTAAAGTGAATATTTTTGTGAAGTTTATTTTCTATCTTCACAGGTACTTTCTATTTCATTCCCTACCTGTTGGATTTGGATGTAGATTTAAAAACTGTTTAATGATCAAATGCAATTATTTGTCATGCTAAATTTTGACATGATAAAAACAGGTTCCCTGATTTTATCGAGTGATATATGCTTATTATAGTTTACCTTGATCTTGACATACAAATGTTTATCAAGGGTATGTCTGCACTTGATAAAGTACATATCAGACAAAAGGAAATATATCTATATTTATCAGATACACATGTCTGGTAATTTATCCTACCAACCTGTCATTGTCCAGATCAATGGAAATGGTTTAAACACTTAATTCAATAAACCTGCTCTGATGTAAGAGTTTGTGTTAGTACCAGGACTTATTACAGGAAATGTTAGCAAATCACTGCCTGAAAAATTGACAAGAAGAATTTTAAACTCACACAAAAAGATTCAGTTTTACAGTGAATTCATTGGTACTATTGTGATATTTCACATGATTGTCAAAACATGTATCAGATGGTATTCATGGTGACGTAAGACATGTATCAGGGTGACGTAAGACATGTATCAGATTGTATTCATGGTGACGTAAGACATGTATCAGGGTGACGTAAAACATGTATCAGATTGTATTCATGGTGACGTAAAACATGTATCAGATTGTATTCATGGTGACGTAAGACATGTATCAGATTGTATTCATGTGACGTAAGACATGGTATCAGATTGTATTCATGGTGACGTAAGACATGTATCAGGGTGACGTAAAACATGTATCAGATTGTATTCATGGTGACGTAAGACATGTATCAGGGTGACGTAAAACATGTATCAGATTGTATTCATGGTGACGTAAAACATGTATCAGATGGTATTCATGGTGATGTAAAACATGTATCAGATTGTATTCATGGTGACGTAAAACATGTATCAGATTGTATCCATGGTGACGTAAGACATGTATCAGATTGTATCCATGGTGACATAAAACATGTATCAGATTGTATCCATGGTGACGTAAAACATGTATCAGATTGTATCCATGGTGACATAAAACATGTATCAGATTGTATTCATGGTGACGTAAGACATGTATCAGGGTGATGTAAGACATGTATCAGATTGTATTCATGGTGACGTAAGACATGTATCAGATTGTATTCATGGTGACGTAAGACATGTATCAGGGTGACGTAAGACATGTATCAGATTGTATTCATGGTGACGTAAGACATGTATCAGATTGTATTCATGGTGACGTAAGACATGTATCAGATTGTATTCATGGTGACGTAAGACATGTATCAGATTGTATTCATGGTGACGTAAGACATGTATCAGGGTGACGTAAGACATGTATCAGATTGTATTCATGGTGACGTAAAACATGTATCAGATTGTATTCATGGTGACGTAAGACATGTATCAGATTGTATTCATGGTGACGTAAGACATGTATCAGATTGTATTCATGGTGACGTAAGACATGTATCAGATTGTGTCCATGGTGACGTAAGACATGTATTCATGGTGACGTAAGACATGTATCAGATTGTATTCATGGTGACGTAAAACATGTATCATCATGGTGACGTAAGACATGTATCAGATTGTATTCATGGTGACGTAAGACATGTATCAGATTGTGTTCATTGTGTGACGTAAGACATGTATCAGATTGTATCAGATTGTATTCATGGTGACGTAAGACATGTATCAGATTGTATCCATGGTGACGTAAGACATGTATCAGGGTGACGTAAGACATGTATCAGATTGTATTCATGGTGACGTAAGACATGTATCAGATTGTGTTCATGGTGACGTAAGACATGTATCAGGGTGACGTAAGACATGTATCAGATTGTATTCATGGTGACGTAAGACATGTATCAGATTGTATTCATGGTGACGTAAGACATGTATCAGATTGTATTCATGGTGACGTAAGACATGTATCAGGGTGACGTAAGACATGTGTCAGATTGTATTCATGGTGACGTAAGACATGTATCAGATTGTATTCATGGTGACGTAAGACATGTATCAGATTGTATTCATGGTGACGTAAAACATGTATCAGATTGTGTCCATGGTGACGTAAGACATGTATCAGGGTGACGTAAGACATGTATCAGATTGTATTCATGGTGACGTAAGACATGTATCAGATTGTGTCCATGGTGATGAAAGACATGTATCAGGATGACATAAGACATGTATCAGATTGTATTCATGGTGACGTAAGACATGTATCAGATTGTATTCATGGTGACGTAAGACATGTATCAGATTGTATTCATGGTGACGTAAGACATGTATCAGGGTGACGTAAGACATGTATCAGATTGTATTCATGGTGACGTAAGACATGTATCAGATTGTATTCATGGTGACGTAAGACATGTATCAGATTGTATTCATGGTGACGTAAAACATGTATCAGATTGTATCCATGGTGACGTAAGACATGTATCAGGGTGACGTAAGACATGTATCAGATTGTATTCATGGTGACGTAAAACATGTATCAGATTGTATTCATGGTGACGTAAGACATGTATCAGGGTGACGTAAGACATGTATCAGATTGTATTCATGGTGACGTAAGACATGTATCAGATTGTATTCATGGTGACGTAAGACATGTATCAGATTGTATTCATGGTGACGTAAGACATGTATCAGGGTGACGTAAGACATGTATCAGATTGTATTCATGGTGACGTAAGACATGTATCAGATTGTATTCATGGTGACGTAAGACATGTATCAGATTGTATTCATGGTGACGTAAAACATGTATCAGATTGTGTCCATGGTGACGTAAGACATGTATCAGGGTGACGTAAGACATGTATCAGATTGTATTCATGGTGACGTAAGACATGTATCAGATTGTGTCCATGGTGATGAAAGACATGTATCAGGATGACATAAGACATGTATCAGATTGTATTCATGGTGACGTAAGACATGTATCAGATTGTATTCATGGTGATGTAAGACATGTATCAGGGTGACGTAAGACATGTATCAGATTGTGTCCATGGTGACGTAAGACATGTATCAGGGTGACGTAAGACATGTATCAGATTGTATTCATGGTGACGTAAAACATGTATCAGATTGTATCCATGGTGACGTAAGACATGTATCAGGGTGACGTAAGACATGTATCAGATTGTATTCATGGTGACGTAAAACATGTATCCGATTGTATCCATGGTGACGTAAAACATGTATCAGATTGTATTCATGGTGACGTAAGACATGTATCAGGGTGACGTAAGACATGTATCAGATTGTATTCATGGTGACGTAAGACATGTATCAGATTGTATTCATGGTGACGTAAGACATGTATCAGATTGTATCCATGGTGACGTAAAACATGTATCAGATTGTATTCATGGTGACGTAAGACATGTATCAGATTGTATTCATGGTGACGTAAGACATGTATCAGGGTGACGTAAGACATGTATCAGATTGTATTCATGGTGACGTAAAACATGTATCAGATTGTATTCATGGTGACGTAAGACATGTATCAGGGTGACTTAAGACATGTATCAGATTGTATTCATGGTGACGTAAGACATGTATCAGATTGTATTCATGGTGACGTAAGACATGTATCAGGGTGACGTAAGACATGTATCAGATTGTATTCATGGTGACATAAGACATGTATCAGATTGTATTCGTGGTGACGTAAGACATGTATCAGATTGTATTCATGGTGACGTAAGACATGTATCAGATTGTATTCATGGTGACATAAGACATGTATCAGATTGTATTCTAGGTGACGTAAGACATGTATCAGATTGTATTCATGGTGACGTAAGACATGTATCAGATTGTATTCATGGTGATGTAAAACAATGGTGATGTAAAGCGTGTGTCTAATTGTAATCATGTTGAAGTAAAACATGAGTTTGATTACTTCGTATAATCATGGTGATGTAAGGGGCAGGTTGTGGCACAGATATATATATATATATATAAAGCAAGGGACCTTAATAATGTTAATTAAGCCTGGTTATTTATACTGTATGTATACTGTACTGGGATACTGACCATCATACTTCTGTGTTGTGTAGGAGTATTAAACAAATTTTACTACATTTGTAATGTAACAATCTATATCTAACTAAAACCTCCAAACAATTGACTTATAATTTAATAATTATAATAACTTATCAGAACTCAAGCACCTTCATAATAGAAACTACATTTACAATCTAATGTTCAACTGTTAAAACTTAAAACAACATTTTCGTAGGCATATTCTATCAAATCTTTGATTTGCTTGATTCTATACTTATAAAAATGATGAAGCTTCAAAGTTATTTGGTAGGTTGTGTTGTTGTTATTTTAGTTTCAGATTTCTGTTAAGCTTCCAGATGTTCAGAACATGTTTTAAGTGAGCATGATTGTGGAACAGTCTACATATGTACATAAACATTATCACTTATCATTTTTATTTAAATTAAATGATTTGACCATTAGATCTAGACACAGTAAACTTATTGTAATAATCAGGACGTATATATCACCATAAAGAATATATCATTGGTATGTCTACCAGGGCATGGCTGCTGAAAACTCAATAACAGATATTTTCAAAACATCCCAGTATTTTGTTTGATATAAAGTAAGACTCATTCAAAAATGTATAACTTTTTTTATGCAATAGGCTAATTATGAAATTTAATTTTTTAAGTGCATTTACAAGCTGAAAGCACAAACTGTGCATGAAAGGTGACTAGTTTTATCTAGAAGTGAAAGCTACTGGCTATATTTTTATGATTATCAACAGGTTGTTTTAGTAATAACATATAGGTATTGTAAATTGTATATAAATGGTTTTAATTTAATTCAGAAATGCAATTTCCTTTGAACTTTTAACTTCTATAAACTTGTATTTTTCAATGTAAACGACATTGACGTTGATAATAATGTCCAAAGTAATTAGAAAAGAGAACATATCACTGATAATTTAATGAAAAATGGTTGATGAAGAATGTTTTTTCATTGAAATTTCAGTTTGAAGTTAATATCAATTATTCCAAAAACATTTTGAGTAAGACTGTTATGTTTATACACTGTCTCTACACTGTGTAAACCTGCTTTAATTGATATGTTTAATATTTCTGAGTACAGACCGATGTAACACCTTACCCTGGTTTTGGTTAAAGTCCCCACTAGATATTCACTCTGAGACCACACCAAATTAATTTTGTAATTGTTCTGACTTAAATCTCAAATGAGGACATTTGAAACCTAGCTGATTTTGTTAAGTTTACAGCATGAACATTTAAACTTTGTTTTTTTGTTTTGTTTTCTGCTCTGTTAGTGTTAAAAAGGAAAAGGAATGGTTGAATCATTTAAAATGACAAGATTTGCAAATTAATTTTATGTGGCCTCCAGTAGTTACTTTAGATTTCTGTTAGAACAGTAAATATAATTGAAAGCATTACAGAACATGTATAGATATCATGTATATGTAGTATAGATCTAAACCCTCTGTAAGGACCAATAACCATTTTGAAGATTTTGCAGTATCATCTAAAGACAATATAAAAATGTTATCAGTCTAAACAATAGAAAGTGAGATCAATACCTTTGTTTACTGCCAATTAAGATTGATTTTCTCAGTGTGGTATTGATTACTAGAACCTTTATTTTCAGACTATTTTCAGACAATGGTAATATAAGTAATGATATTTCTTTGATCAGAATTCTTGACTTTAATGACATTTTAGTTTCATTTTTGTCAGAACAATTACTGATGAACATTTTTCAATTTCACAATTTGTGAGTAAATTAATCTAGAGTTAAACTCTTCATGTTTACTGGGAGCCTAGATTCCCAAAATGCTAAGGATCAATCCAAACATCTTGTGGTTTACTTGAGTCTGCATGCTTTACTGAACTGCTAAAGAGAGACTTCCAGTCTATGAATAGCTGAGTTGGTCTAATGATATGGGCTGCATGCAAGTGGTATTTTCTGGGTGACATTTAATATATGTATGTATCATAAACAAACGGTGACATTAATCCAGATATCAATGAAATATAATACTGTTGATTTCCTATATCTTATGATAGAGTTCCTCTATTGTGTAGACTATTCATTACCTATCACCTGGACAGTCATCATTACTGTTGTCTTGTTTGTTGTCTGTAAAATCACACACCAACTTGTCCCATTCATTATCTGCTAGTCTCTTCAGTAATCTGTCAGAGCAATGATGATTTTGTACAAGACTTGTCAATTTACCATGCTCCACCTCCTTGAGAAGCCAAACTCTGAATTCACATTACATTAAGATAGTCTTTAGGCAGCTCTAAATAAGTGGAGATGATTTTTAAATTAACATTGATTTCCATAAGATGATATTGTCATTGTGTTTACTTTCATGTTTCATCAGAGTAAATAGAATCAGGATGTATATAACTACAGTAGAATGGGAGTCTTAATCCTTGTGTTTGATGTTAAATTAGGAGCAATCAATGCTACAGCAGACATCACAATCAAGTCCTACTCCCCGCCACCTCTGCCAACCATTCGCGACTTTGTCAATCCACAGGTTGGAGACAAACTCTTCGACACAAATAACATGTTTGAGCAGGAATGGCTGACTGGTAAGTACTGGTGTTTTTAGATCATACTGCACTGATATCTTTGACAATGATCAAATTGTGAAACAAAATGTTGCGAACCAACCTCCTTTTCACAATCATGATGTTCTTTTAAGATTATCAATCACAGCGAAACAGAGATGATAAAGAAAAACAATTATATTATAGCCTGTTCCACAAAAATTAATTACCATAAGTTCTTCTGATGTGGAAATTGCAAAAGTGAACTATGAAAGAAAGTTACTTTACAGAACATTATGCAGAACAACAAGTTCTGATGCCTCCGATATAGTATTAGATTGTTAAATATAATCTTTATATTATCAATGTCTTTTCAGGTGCTCAACAAATCCATGAGCTGAAAGGTGACAATACCAGTATTTACATGAGCACAAAGAATCAGTACCGTAAACAGCTACAGAACCAGTACCCTAAGCCACCCGAGGACTGGTACCCTGAAACTGACCACGAAAAATACAGCATTCACAAGCCAAGTATTAAAAAGGTGGAAAAAGGTCTACAAAGATGGGACAAACTCCCAGTGGCAACAGATGTAAGTAACATTGGGACAAACTACCAGTGGCAACAGATGTAAGTAACATGGGGACAAACTCCCAGTGGCAACAGATGTAAGTAACATTGGGACAAACTCCCAGTGGCAACAGATGTAAGTAACATTGGGACAAACTCCCAGTGGCAACAGATGTAAGTAACATTGGGGTGGCAACAGATGTAAGTAACATCCTCCCAGTGGCAACAGATGTAAGTAACATAGGGACAAACTCCCAGTGGCAACAGATGTAAGTAACATGGGGACAAACTCCCTGTGGCAACAGATGTAAGTAACATGGGGACAAACTCCCTGTGGCAACAGATGTAAGTAACATTGGGACAAACTCCCAGTGGCAACAGATGTAAGTAACATTGGGACAAACTCCCAGTGGCAACAGATGTAAGTAACATTGGGACAAACTCCCAGTGGCAACAGATGTAAGTAACATGGGGACAAACTCCCTGTGGCAACAGATAACATTGGGACAAACTCCCAGTATCTCTAATGTAAGTAACATAGGGACAAACTCCCAGTGGCAACAGATGTCAGTAACATTGGGACAAACTCCCAGTGGCAACAGATGTAAGTAACATTGGGACAAACTCCCAGTGTTAACAGATGTAAAAACATTTGGACAAACTCCTAGTGGCAACAGATGTAAAAACATTTGGACAAACTCCTAGTGGCAACAGATGAAGGTAACATAGGGACAAACTCCCAGTGGCACTACTGTAAGTAACATTGCAGACCTTCAACCAGAATTTTGTTGAATGTAACTTTCAATAAGTCTGGAATTTTAAGCAGTGTACAACAGTTTGCGAGATTATACAACAAGTGTTGCCATTACTTGCTGTTTGCACTTAAGTATCAGTGCATAATTAATTTTGTACAAATTTTGGGGCTCACCTGTTTAATGGCAGGTAACGTTGATTATACCTGTAAATTGCTTACATTTCGCGAATACTTTGTTTCACGAACTTACCTCATCAGACATATTCACAAACAACATAATTTCATGATTGCTGATCTCTAATGACTTTAACAGAACAGATTGAACAGAATCAACATGGATACCATCCGCAGTTTTTTTCACACTTAATTGACATGAAATTAAATCCCATGCTAAATATAAGTGATCAAGTCAGGGAAGTGCATGGTCAAATGAATTTATATACAATGTAGTGTATCAATTTGTATTAAAAGATCTAGAATATATTTGATAGTAGTGAAACACTTCCTTGATCATTTTTCTGACACACCAGTATAATCAAGGTAATCATTGGTTGGGTAAAAACCAAATATCCAAGCATTGACCTACATGAATGAAAAAACAAACTAAGAAAAATAGTTTTTTTTTAACTTTTGTGTCTTATAAATTTTCAACAGAAGTTTAAACATTTTTACAACAGGATCTTGATGGCCGTATAGTGCCCCCTGGATATGATCCAGAGTACCACAGGTCACCTGACCCGACAACTCGCAGAATCACCAGGAATAACCAGGCTCTCACACAAGTCAGTAAGTAAATATCCCTAACAGAGGACAGTTCTGAGTTCATTATTGTCAGAGTGAGGAAAAATGATAGAGGTATATTAGAATTTAACTGTTATGTTCAATGTTGACTGTGTTGCTTGATGGTCCAATCTTTCCTTGACCAGTTGATGAATGGAGAGCTAAGTGGCACCTGAGTGGTCAGTTGGCAGACAGCACCACAGATGACCTCATCAAAGACATGGCTGACATCCAGACACATGTCCGACTAAAGGCCATAGCAACTATCGCTAAGGCAGCAGAGATGCAACGAGCCAATGCCAATAGGGATGACTTTGAATATGTACCTCAGGAAAACCAGTTTAACTTTCCATTAGGAGATGGAGAGATTCCAGAACGCCTGTTTGTGGCATTAGAATGTCTGTTAGAGGACGCTGAGCAGCATGTCCAGATTGCTGCAGCCATCACATTGTACTCTCTTAACAGGCCGTCTGATCAGGTAAATAGGAATCCTTTATCAGTTCCTTGGGCTTCCTCAGAAGAATTAATGGATGACCTCACATTCATTATTGCCATGGCTACCATCTTGGAGGTCAATTTTCAAAATCAACAATCAATTATTGTTTGATTTTCTGACAAACTTGATGAATGTATCTTTGAAATATCTTATACATGTTATGCATTGCCTCTATTTCAGGCTAAGGAAATTTTACACTTTGCCCTGGAGAGTGAGAATGTAGTTGATCGCTGGGCAGCTGCACAGTGTCTGGCTCACTTTGGTGTTTGTAACTCCCTGGTGGTAGGGGAGGTAATCCATCAACTCCTCACAACAGAAGACACCATCAAACATGAAAAAGCCATTTTCCTGCTTGGAAAGCTCAGCTTGTTTTCTGTAAGATTAAGTTTTTCTTTTTCGTTATTGATATTTTACAATGATATAATTATTTGTCAACGGGAATAATATACTGGCTGGACTAGCTGCTTAATTGCTAAATGCTCTACATTAAAGAGGAATATAATGACAGATTATTGACCAAGATCTTCAAGTGAAATTTTCATTATTACATTGCTAAGTGGTGCTACAAATGGTGACTATGAATGTAATGAAATTCATTGAAAAAATGGGAGGGGGGATTGTAATGAGAACTGCCTGCATGAAGTTTATAAGCTGATAAACAATATAGCATTGTCTTTATGTTTGAAGCCCTTGGTCCATGGAATGGTGGCAGAACAGCTGAACAGCAGTAGCTGGAGACACAAAGTGATTGCCTGTAAGATCCTTCCCACACTGAGTGGTACCATCAACAAGGTTGGTATAACAAGTGATCAAACAAAACTTATATTTATATAAATGTATTGTGTATATATATAATTTTGTAGAAAATTCAAGCTTAAATCTTGATAATATGTAGTGTTTAGTATTATATAGCATATTATAAAGCATGTTAAAATCAACTGATTATATCTTTGTACAGGATATCACAAACAAGTTGGCAGACCTGATGTGGAATGACTGGCATGAAGATGTACGTAAATCAGCAGCGCAATGTTTGGGTAAAACCAGCCATGGTAAAGAAGTTCATGATGATCTGTGTGATCGTCTCCTCACTGGCGACGAGATGACTCGTCTGGAGGCCATCAATAAGATTGGACAGCTGGGTGAGTGGTGACAGTGCAGTTGAACTTATTTTGTCATTTGTGACTGGGTGGAAGTGTATAAATGTATTAGAGTATTGAAGTAAACAGACAGTACATTTCTGGTTTTTTCAAAGCATACAAATCCGACCACAGACTCAATACCTATATGTGTTCAATTGAACTAGTAATACTTTCCCAGCTCATCTAGTCAGCCTTCCTCTCACATATCATACTGAGTCAAATCTCCTCTTCCCAAGTCATTGATCTCCCCCCTCCAATTTAGCCTTCTTTTTCCCTCCCACCTCACATCCACTCAGCCTTGCTGTCCCCCTTCCCACCTCAAATTGAGGTTGGAGGAGGGGCACCATTGCTTCACCAGTAGAGTGTTAGGTAAATTTGACCAATCATATGTTGATCAGTGAGGTAGTCACCATCTTCTATGAGTCCCCACCTCAAATGACATGGGGTGTTAAACAAAACAAGCAAACTTGACTTCTGATGGATTCAACATGTTTATAATTAAACTTCTGCGATATTTTGGAACATTTTCTTTAGATTGGTAATGTCAATAGCATAGAAATTCTTACAAAACAACATTACTGGTTGAGTTCTTCTCAGATATGTTTATCATGAGCAGGCAATGGATTGTACATCTTGTATCTTATGTACTGCACAGGGACTTTAACACCTGTCTCAGGGTCATAGCTCCGTCAGTTGTAAAAAAATCATTTGTTGTGATGGTATTTGCAACTGTTAACTCTACCCTGCCTCGATTAGTCGATTAAAATTAGTCACAGTGAATGGCTTTATTTCTGATATATGGTAGGATAGACCACTAGTATTGAAAAATTTTCATGGAAGACAGATTGAGAAAACAGAGAAATAGAAATGAGGGAAAAAGGGGGAATGAAAAAAATGAGAAGAAAAAGTCTGTTTACCACCCCACCTCCACCCCCCACCCCCACCTCCACCCAGATTACTCAAGATAGATTTAACAGTGTATATACCCAGGTATATACATAAGATAACACTGAATTTTGATAGCTGTATTAAAAGTATGACCACTGTTGATCATGTTTTATATTATCTATACAGGTATAATGACAGCCAAACTATTACCCGTCTTCTTAAAGAGCTTTGAGGATGAATATGTATCTATACGTTCTGAAGTGTGCATCACATGTGGTAATTTGGAGATCAAAGATGAGTTAGTATTGGAAAAACTTCTCAAGCTTTCCACGTTTGAAACCATTTGGAAGGTCAAAGCTTTAGCTATTCAAGGTGAGTGTAACAGCTTTAGGTTGTAACTTTAGTTCATGTGAAGAAAAGGTTACATCACAAAAACCATTTCGTGATGATATGGTATCAGTTTACCATTAGTTTTCAGTTATTTTTATATATGTAGATCTATTACAATTTTCAGCTCACCTGCCTGAAGGGCATTGTTAAGTGAGCACCAAGATGCTTAGTCCATCATCAATGTTATCTTTAAATGACTTCTTTTCACTAACCAAGGGTGCCCAGGGTCATGATATTTGACCAGTGACATGCTGGTAACCAGGTTTGTTCAAATGAATGACCTAAATCTTCTTTCAAAGGTCACAGGGTTTAAATGTGTTACATTATAAAATAACTTTTTCTCACTAAGATGGAGGAAAAGAATTCTAATGTGGGGCCTGCATCCTGGAAAGAAAGACTACCAAGTTTGTTCAAATTACTAACCATGTAATCCTTTTCAGGTCACAGGGGTCAGAGTGTAAAACTCTTTAAACTTCCTCTTGTAAATACTTCACCTGCAATATATAAATACAGTACTGTCATGTTTTGATTGATGAACATAAGTGTAACCAGAACTATCCCAATGAAGTTGTCTCAGTATAAGCTGCAGAGCAGGTGAGCAATACCGGACCATTTGGCTGCTTATCAATTCTTTACTGAACAAATATCTTTTTTGTTTATGTTTTTTGGTATTCTGTTTTACAGCCTTTAAAGTAATATTTTTTTCAAACATTCGGTTAAAAACAGCTGGATAATTAAGATACATTTTCACCTTTAGAGTAGTCTAGGTATAATATTTCAGTATTCAGGAAAGAAAATGTGTTTTGCAGCTCTGGGTAAGATTGGTGTGGTAACAGATGAAATCACAGAGACATTACTATGGGCTGTGAGGTATGAGGAGAACTCAGCAGTGAGAGCTGAAGCTTGCCACACTCTGATGTGTCTGGAACTCCAAACCCCTGAGGTTGCAGAGGTTCTACAGGAACGATTTCTGGTGGAGTCTAGTGATGTTGTTCGGGAGTAAGTAGATAGTTTGAAATCTAAGGGTCATCTGCACAAAACTGAATATATTTAAATAATAATAAAATTAAATCTGGGAAATTAAGACTATTAATAAAATGTTTCACAACTGGTACATATTGTACTGTGAGGTCAATAGGCAAATGTTACAAACAGACAATAGTTCAAGTCTGTTTTGTCACATTCTCTGATTAATCCACAAGTTCCTGTCTGCCCAGCTTTATAAATGGATAACAGTTTGCTTCCAGAGCAGTAATACTTTGAAAGGAAGACATCCAAATTTTTAGAAGCGTTTTAAAAAAGTCTCCATGATATAATTTTATGTTAGGATACTATCCTCTAGATTCTAATATAATCTGTCTATACTTTGATATCGTTGTATAAATTCCAGTGAGATTGCCAAGACCCTGGAGATGTTTGGAATCAATGCTACAGAAGATATGGACATGGTGGCTCAGATCAAGAATGAAGTTCGAAAACTGTGTACACGCAATAATATTGCTGCACAGATCACCATAAAAGAAAAAGACGACACCAAACGTGAAAACTTGGCTCGTATGATTTATGAGTCGGAGAAGGAACTAGAGGTAAAGTGTAATAAATCTGTAGTCCTGTGCTAATGTTACTAATTATCTAAATCTGTAGTGTGTGGTGTCCACTTCTCACCTTTCATTTCAAGCTTGGTAACTTTGTGCTTCTAGTAAATTGTATAGATATATATTTCCAAAAATGTTTTTTCCTTTGTGTTCTTTGAATAATATACAATGATGCATGACAATTCATTTTACTCTACTCTTTAATCGTCAAAGGAGAACATATCAATGTTAATTTGTTTCTCACATAAGAAAGTCTCCTCTTTCGTAAGTACAGTAAATTTTTAATTATAGCAATCAGTGGCAGTCATTGGTAAAATATAGAAAGATTTTTTACTAGTTAGGTTAGACATTTTTTAGTCTTACCAGTCAGGGTTGCACACTTTCAATAGGACATATTAAATACTGCCAGAAAAGAATTGGAAGTAGTTATATAGATTTTGCTTGGATATCTCAGATTAAATACAGCTGAATTGTCATGTTTCTAGCATTTTCTGGTGGATATTAAATATTTTTACTAATTTTGAAATGTTTTTAATATGCTTGTAGTATAAAATTTCATGAGTCAAGTATAATGATTTTGAAACAATAAATTCACTGAACATTAAGAAAACACATTTCACCAGTTCAAAAATGTATTCACCCGGTTACTGTTATACTGTGCTAATACTATGCATGTATGCTAAATGCTTCTGCGTAACACTAACCTTTCTTCACTCTACGCCCTCTGTAGATCTTCTTTCGTAGAAATAACCCATATACAGTGTTGAGTCTGAAAACTGATGAGAAGAAATCACTCCTCCATGACCCTTTTCACACTCACAGTTTCTCGTATTCCAGATTGTGTAGTGTGACTAAGTTTGTAAGTACATGTCACTCTAGAAATGTTATCACCCTATAATTATATATTTTTTGTGGTTTTGTGTTAAAGGCTTGTTTCAGTAACTAATAGTTTTTCCATCTCTGGAAATTATAAGCTTATATCTCATTGTTGTATCAATGACATTGAAATGTTTATCTCTGTCAGGTGTTGAATATGATTGTTTTAGAATAGTGATTCAAAAGTAAGTTTTAGTGCTACTGTGCGAGTCATTTTATAATTCCTTAGATATTTCAAAGCTTTGATTTTCTTTTAAATCCCTATGATCTAGAGTTTAGACTTTATGAGGGTTAAATACAGGGTAGTATACAGAAATTTCAGTAACATTTGTTTTATTTTTATTTTCACATATGACCAATGTATGAGAATATTTGATGCCTATCCATCCTTGTTACATGTCTTAACTATTCATTGTTACTCATTGTACTCAGGAACATGAAGAGGAGAAGGAACCAATGATGCAGAGAATTCGTTCATCCATGAGCCAACCTAGCAGTCGTTCAACCACACCTCATCCTCGTATACTCACTCCAACAGCAGATGAAGAACTCAAGCAGATACTGTCACGTGATGATACGAGCACCTCCCCTGACACAGTATCAGAAATGGAGTCCACACCAGGACTCAAGTCGCGACCATCCACAGTGGATGATGAGTCTGATGGAGAATCCTCCCGGCCACGATCGAGCAGGATGGATAGAATATCAGAGGAGGCTGATGGCAGTCTCAGTCAAAGCTTAGGGGAGGGAAGCGAGGTCATAGGTGAGGAATTAGAGAAGGAAAAGAATGTGGAAGAAAAAGATGGACGACCACCAAGTATTGTCAAGTTTGCATCTAATTTGGAAATTAATGATATTCCATCCAACAAAGAAAAACTGAGCATGTCTCCCACCAAATCTGGTCCAGGTGATGGAGTATCAAGGCTAAGTAGCCTAGCACCAGGCTCAGAGATACGCGCATTCAGTCGTGACGCCATCAAGGAACGCGACGCCATAGACAGGGAGGCTCGTAATGGTTATGCTGGACTTGATGAACGGTATCATGAAATGATTGATGATTTAGATATTGTGGATAACACATATGAAATCCTTGTTACTGGTAGAAGACCTCAGGAAAGAGTACAGATAATCACCTTCATTACCGAGCCTGAGGAGGAACAATTACTTCCTGATGAAGTGTCCACTGTCCCTGCAGAAAAAGAGGAGGTTGTTGATGATAAACAGCCAGAATCTGAACCCAAACCACTAGAGTCGGATCAAGAGCCAAAGCCTGAAGCTCAGTCTGGTTCAACATTGGTGTTTAAGAAATAGTGCTGATATTTGATATACTTTATATAGTCTAGACTGCATTGTCATGACAATGTAACATTACAGGGAGGTTATAGGATAGCTGTTTGGTGGAATGATCCCTCAGTGACAGGTTATAACATACACATTTGTGATAATATCAGGAATCAGTGTTTATGTTGATACCAAAAAAGAAATAAGCTATGGATTTTCCTGTTATACAAGTGTATCTGTGATAATTATTTCAAAACAATTTACATTTACACAAGTCTTTGCTTTTGCTTTACATTGAGTCACCAACAATTTTTTGAAGTTGCCAAAAATTTTGTTGATACAAAGTGTAATTAAGTCTTTAAAAACATCTACCCAATCATCTTTCCTATTGATTTAGTAAAATGAAGATTCAAAGAACCATATTTGCTCTAAAAAGTGCAACCTTGCTTTTTTCATTCCTCTAAGAGTAGGAGATCCACACCTGTTGAATTAAAGCCCATAGAAAAGTGACTTCACCAATCTATCAGTATATATACACAAAACCACTCCTCTTATTCAAATCATCTTTCCTCCATGTAGATGGATTTTTCACTTTTAAAATAATTCCATTCAAAGGACTCCTTTAGGGATTTTATTAGTACACTGCACTTATTGGGTCAAATATGGTACTAAAATGTGAAAAAAACAATGTTACTGCTGACAGCGATTATAAAACATGAAACCATTCAGGGATGAATATGTTGCAAAAATATCTGTTTAAAAAATAGGAATGTTTTTAAACTGAAGTATGAAGAGATTAAGCTACATAAATATCAATTAAAGAAAGTGGTATTTTTTCTAAAATTGTACATTCTGTTCTGAAATACATTATTGAGTTTCATTGTGTTAACAGTTGATATCCCTGCTCAGGTGTTAACATTTCCTTGCAGTGGAATATCAGATGAGAAAAATGTGTTAAAACACTCAGATTTTTCCCTTACAGGAGGTTCAAATGGGACTGATTGATAGATTTTCAAATTCCTTTCTTCAAGCAAATCAAGGCAAAAATCTTAACAAAAATCTATCCCTTGATTCAGAAATTGAATTTACAAGCTTTTATGGACAGACAGATAATTCTGATAAACTCCCCTCAAACCTGTTTTCAGTGGGTTATGTTACAAACTATTTTTATATGAACTTTTGGATTTTTGACAAAATGCCAAAATATTCTAACAATAACCAAAAGAGAATTCCACTTGAAAAAACCCTGAGAACAAGGACAATGTACAGGATAAGAAAACCTTTACTACAATGAAAAGATGGTATTGACCTTGAACTTGTAACCTTGAAATACAAATTGTGTAAAAGATTTTCATCCTTAACCTTTGTGTCATCTTTGAACATAATTCCTAACAAATGAAGCTGTTTGGGTGATGAAATAGTTTTTGATTGAACAATTGGCAAAGACACGACAGACTGGATTATTTGCTTGTATAATACTTTATCTTTTTTAAAACAATAAGGAATCCTTAACTGGCCTATGATAATCTACAATATGTTGAATTGTCCTTAAATCTTTCTTGTCAGCAATATAAACCAGCTGCTTATCGTGATATTTCAATTTACAAGTTTGCAAGATTGTTATATTATGCAATGTACATGTATATATTTTAACATTATATCAATATACAAATGTGTACATGGATTTTTGTTTGTCTAATCAGAAATCATACAGTAACTAAATATGTTGAGAAAATTACAGAACAGTTGGAAAAATATCATCCTCTTCGCAAATACAATCATCTACTTCACCTTATTTCAATCAATACTCTCTCAGGATCTTTTCGTGTAAAATTCTGAACAGCAATCATAACATTTAAGGTTATTCTATGATACAAAAAGCTCAAAGAGTCATGCTCGATATTGAAAGTGAGCAGGAGCTCCCAAATATTATACCACTCTCCTCCCTCATCTGATCTACAGAGGCTACATGTAACCTGTGGCCTATCAACCTTACCTGATGATCACCAAAATGTTGTAGAACTGATTTTGCTGTTAATAAATACTATGGTGCAAATATCACACGTCAACTGAGGGGTTTACGAGAGACTTCCTATACAAGCATTTTTATTCAATAAGTGGTAAAAAGCGACCTTTGACCCTTTAGCCTTGACTGATGAGCACCAAAATGTACTAAGAAGTAGATCTTGACGTTACACTGTGATGTGAATATGAATGCTGTTGTTAGATAACAATAAAAGCAACATCTTTTACACCAACTCTGACATTGAATTTCATCATAGGTGACTTTGACCTTTATAACCTTGACCGCTGACCACCAAAATCTTATCAGGTGTAGAAGATATCCATGGTACTGTGATATGTGGTGAGGATATAAACTAAATCCGTTCAGAGGTTGATGACGTCTGAGCTTTATGCATCTTATGTACTGTGAAGTCATCAAATGAATTAACAGAGAGTAAGATCATTACCAATTTAAATTTCATAGGAGTCTAATTAAATGGTGTTTTCATACATTCGTTTCATTTCATGTAAGATTTATGAAACTTGTCACAAATCATTTCACTTTACCCCTTTAAACCTTATTGAGGTCCTGTCGTACTTAAGACACTACCTGCTCAAAAGTATAGTTTCCTGGTTCAAGGACAGGTGCAACATTTATCAACAAATTGAAATAGTTTTATAATGGTCTCTTTAACAATTCCATGGTTTGTTTTCTCTGCAATGATTAACACACAAACAAGTCCTTGGCTGACCACCATATTACAAAATATCACAAACAATGAATAACATACAGATATTTAATAAACTTTGAACAATGAAACAATGAATCACTTTCCTTGTGCTTCAACACAACAAAATGTTTCAATATTTGGTAAATCTAGTGTATAACTCTACCTTCAGAATTTTGTTACCATCGTATAAACAAACATCCATACAATTTTATGTATGTGTGCCACAGAATAAACATCATCAGAATTTGATGTGTGTATACCACAGTTTAAACATCATCAGAATTTAATGTGTGTATGCCACAGCCTAAACATCAGAATTTGATGTGTGTATGCCACAGCCTAAACATCATCAGAATTTGATGTGTGTACACCACAGTTTAAAAATCATCAGAATTTAATGTGTGTATGCCACAGTTTAAACATCATCAGAATTTAATGTGTGTATGCCACAGTTTAAAAATCATCAGAATTTAATGTGTGTATGCCACAGTCTAAACATCATCAGAATTTAATGTATGTCACAGCCTAAACATCCATCTGAGTTTAGTATGTGTTTGGAACCGACAGCATGGTTGAACTGTGCTGTTTTAATGAATGGGAAATGGTTGAATTTCAGATAAATAAAAAAGGCAAAAACATCAAAGAAATGAAAGGACATCAATAAAAATATATCGCATTTACAGCAAAATGAAAATTTTAAGTTCCATTTGCTTTCATTTCCTGTCAATGAGGAGCTTTATGTTTCAGAAATTACAACAATCTTCACTCATGACTTTAACCTTAAATATGGTTCATTAATTATCATTATTGCTAATCAATTCGACAATAAAGTTAGATTTGATAAACATCTGCCATGTTGTGACCAAAACGTGGGAATCTGTCGGGATGTCTAAACTGCATGGATTAAATTGATTATCTCCCATGCAAATTTATTGCAAGAGGGACATCAAATGATCATTCCAATGTTTTAATGAAACAAAACGTGAAGTCAAAAAAAAAATATGAACATTACATGTAATCGTTAAGAAGTGCCCCCTCTTATTTGAAAAAAAGGGAATTTATTGAAAGTCACTGAAAATGCAAAGTTGGAAAGAAATTCAAGTTAGAACATATGTGACAGGTAAATAATTCTACTTTGTAATCTAGTTGGTTCCAAAACTTGCTTATCACACAGAAGTTTTACAATACTTAACATATGCTCTCTCTTAACAAAGTAACAGGTAGAAATAAACATTTACTTATATCTACTTCAGTAACAACTATAACGAGTAACAGCTGATCTTGTACCTGTCCAGTTATAAAGCTCATTAATAAAATCATTACAATAACATAGGGACTTCTGAACATTGATCTAGAGATGAAACATTATATTTCTGGATCAGTTTTTAGTCACTCGGTTGACATTTTCTCTCGGATCATAATTTATATAATAAATTTCACAGCAAATTGACATCTTCATTAATGTTTTACTATATTAGTACAAACAAGATTGTGTTCAGTATACTGGTAAAATAGTTGTAGAATTGATATATTGTTAAAAATGACAAGTCACACATCAGATCCTGGTTGTTTAAAAGCTACTTAGAGATACCCAGTCATTAGTGAAAATTTCAAACATGAATTACAAAAGAATTTAAATGGTTTTCATTTCACAGCTGTTGATTTCTTGAGGCCAATTAGATTGATATATTTTGAGTTTACTTTTGCCTATTAACGGTCTTGTATTTTCTGTGGTAATTAATTTTTTCAACTTCCTGTTGGATAACTCCAACTTGTTAGTAACTGGTCAATTTAAATTAGCATATAGTTCAAATGAATGATTTGTTTAACAAAACAATAATAATTTTCTGCCTGATGATAACATCAACTCTTGATTATTCACTTTTCACTTCATCTTGAAAAACTCAAGAACAAATCCAACTTATGAATCTAAACAAATCATGATTGGGATCATCAATGAATGTAGCAGTGTTATAAAAACATTACATATTTTGGTGGTGATTCAATTTCATCATTTCTGCAGAAATATATACCAAGCGATATTTGGATCACAATTTCCTTTCATGATAGAAGGACCTTGAATTACCGTAACCGACACTTACAAATTTCAAAATATTCATTTTAGGCTGTTGTTTGTAAATGAGTAGTTAACTGATAATTTTATGTACCTGGTAGTCTGTTAACATGTCGAACACTTTGCATCAAGTTTATTTTCAAGAGAATATTCATTTCATTCAATCTGACCAGAGGTTTATCAGGATTTTGCAATTTACCCTATGATTGCATACAGTTACACTGTTACAATCACCCTGCCTTTTTAACTGTCAAGACCAGTAACAATTTGGGGCATGAAAATCAAACATCAGATCAGCTTAATGGTGGCAGTTTTCTTTAAGATTTCTATCACAAATGCAAACATTGTGAAGATGTGATCAAAAGCTGCATGGATTTCTTATATGCCAAAATATGTATGCATGATTTTTACCCAAGTATTACACATGTGTACAGCATTCGGCTGTGTAAATGATTCTGATGGTTTCCATTTTATCAATCCCCTATTAGTTTAATTCCTCTCTATGAAATTGGGCTATGGTCCATGTCCTCTTGTTGGTCACACATTAGCTTTTCCAGATGTCTTTGAGTCAAAGTTACAGGAGCTTTAATTTGATAAATCTGTGAGTACATTTGTAATAACATATTGAAATTTCAATATCTTATATTTTTTCAGAGTTGTGGTCCTTTAAACTTAAAAAATTTCTGTTGTTCGTTTGTTATTTTCGTCATGCTCCATGATATCATGATGAGCTTTTATAAATTGGTTTGTAATAACAAGTTCCTTAACCAACTTCCAAATTGCTTCTTTGATAGATTTCTATGTCCCTAAAAAGTAAAGAAATTTCACTATGAAACTTTTGCACTATTGTTAACTTTTTTGGTTAGATTTTAGAAAGTAATTGAAGAGCAAAAGAAAAGAAAATTGGTTAGTTGTTCCAATACTTTTTCTGTTGCAGGCATCAGAATATGTGTAACAAGAAATAATTCATTTTTACATATTATTCTAGTTTTTGAAGTTGAGAGTACAGGTCACCTTACTCTAGCCTTGGCCAACAGGAATTTCAACTTGTAGTTAAGTGGTAGAGTGTCAAGCTAGAGACCAAAGGGTTGCTCGTTCAAACCCAGCAAAGAGCATGGTGTTTTTCATTACCCCTTCCGATTACAAATCTGGTGCCCTTAACCACTATAAGGGTAGAAGCTATGGGAAATGGAGATGCTTCCTTGGAGATACTGAACCTGTGTTGCTGTTGTCTTTGGGGTCAAAAACTTTGTAAAGGAAGGAGTAGTGTAGAAGTTGAGAGTACAGGTTGCCTTACTAGCCTCTGTGAGGAGGAATTTCCTAAAGTCAAGCCGTCTAGTGTCTGGACAGAGACCAAATGGTAGCTAGTTCAAACCCTACAGGGGCAATATGTTTACCATTACTCCTTTCTACTACTGTATGATACTCGAATACATAGAAAAAAAAAAATAATCTAGTATTCAACTATTTTACGATGTAATGCTTGAATATAAAAATTTTTGAGAAAAATTTTCATGATTAAACAGGAGAGGGTCACTGTGCTTTAATTTTTGCAACCTTAAAGAGCCAGACCCATTTAATTATAGATATTTTTTCATATTTTATTGACTGGATATGTTGTTGTATACTAATCAATAATATATAAATAAAGACTGGTATAAAGTTTTGAACTTGAAATTGAAAGGGTACCGGAGATATCGGTGCCGGAATTAGTCTCATTAATCAACACCAGGATATGAATATTGATGAGTAAAATTCCCGTGATATGTTCAGACGCAGTCAGAACCAAAACAAAAATGGAGGAAGAGGTGAGTAGTACGTCCATGTGACATCGCTTGTAAAGAGATTTTACCAATAAATGCAATCAATACTCTATATATCTTGTATGGAAATCATTTAACATATGTATTGATCACATCTTTCAATGCTTAGATATGACACAAAAACCTGCAGATTACGAGAAAAACTACCATTAATTGCAAAGAGGCCCTCAAATGGGGGCTACGATACAGTACAAACATATAGAACATCGCGAAATGGATCTATCTAAAGCGAATATTCAATGATAAGAGTATTTATGAATATGATTTTAGAGTGATACTAAACGAGAGAGCCAAACAGCGATATAGAGTATGAACCAGCCATCTTCCTTCTTTTCACCTCAAGAGTCCATCAAAACACATTTTCTTCCTTGCTTCCCTCGCACGCTTTCTGCCATGGTGGAAGATGGCAGATTTATTTACAGTTCTTTGCACATGTGTCAGAGGGCAGGACTTCCCGCATAATTATGAATTAACCTTGAGTCGTTTCAAATTCTTTTTTAAAACTATTATGTTAGATTGGTAGTGATTTACTTCAAAATTGCGGTATTACAGGGTTAGTCAGAACTTTTGCTACCGGAGAAAAATAGAAAATCATTATTTTTTTTTTATATAAAATAATATCGGTCGAGGAATGGGTCTGGCTCTTTAACAAGAGAACAAACTAAAATATTTGTTTTTGAGTCCTAAAAATTTTAGCAAGTGGTCTGTCAAATCAGAATTCATGAATTTGAAATCTGTGATTTGTAGTGACAATTCGTGCAAAATGTAGTTGAAACCTAGAAACTAATTACGACTTCAGCAGACCAGCAGGTAATATTCACTTTGACATTAGAATTCTTAAAATATAAACCTAAAAATATGACAACTTAAGAACTTAAACCAAAGACTTGTGCACATTTGAACAATGTTACTATTCGAATGTAAGCTATAAATCACTTTACCATTACACTTTTCACACCCTCAGGAATTCAGACAATCTACTTTAAAGAATGTTAACACACAACAATAAAGTACAAGTTGAACACTAAATATTGACTTCATGCTGTATAACGTGGTTATTTTATGACAGGTAAGTTTTCAAAGTAAATATCTGTTCCACAAATATTTGCTTCATATTCACTTTTTTCATTACATACTTCATCATTTATTCTGAAACTAAGTCTGCCTTTTCACAATTCTGTTTACAAATTTGCACAGGAGCTCCTTTTTCCAGTTTTTATTGTGTTCGTTTCCACACTGTCTTTCATATTGGATAATAGACTTAATTTATCTGATTACTTGTAGTTCTACCAATCATTTCACACAAAGTCTGTAAACTCTGACTTCATGATTTGTGAAATTGACCATTATTAGTCGTCCATCTGGTGTGAGGTGGATGTCAGAAGGACGAATATGTGGGTCACTCAAAGATAAAACACCAAGGAATCTTCCATTTGACATAAAGATCTGAAAAATAAAACCAAAATCTAACTCTTCAGAAACATTATTTACAACTTAAATATTAATAAGCTAGGATGTAAAAGGACCTAGCCTTTAGATTATACTCAACATCAGATTATAGGTATTCCCAACATAAAAATTTGAATCAAGTACCATATGACAACATGTCACCACTCAATCGCATTTTGTTGTAATAAGCTATATATATTTGAACTGCATCAGGTTTGACCAGTCCATTTCTCCCAAGAAACATAACTTACAATGTTGCATTGAGAGCATCAAAAAATGAAAAATGTGTGGTCTTCAGGTCAAGGGTGCAATTAGGCTGATGCTCTACTGGGCAAGATTAAAGCACACCGCCAACCTCCCACCCCACAAACACATACACATATATAATATGGGATCAATGCTGATGGTTAAATACCTGTTAATCCATTGCCAACACCTCGAATGAGCAAGCCTGAAAATTAAATGAGGCAACAAACTTACATCAACCCTAGAAAATGAAGGAGTGTTACCTGGATCCGTTCATTCCTACTGTCTGCCACAATGATGTGTCCATCTTTATCCACAGAAATACCGGCTGCATGTGAAAAGAGGCCCAGTCTGTGTCCAGAGTGACCAATGGTGTGGAGCAGACATCCAAACAGATCAGTGATGTATACACAGTTACAACCTGTGGATATAGTGTCACATTAGCATTTATCCAACTGATGACACTTACCAGGCTAAAGAGTGTCCTTACTTTTGATTTAAACACTAACAAAATGAACAAGAAATGTTAAATAAAGGCTAACTATATAATTAAAGAATATGATAATATAATAAACATTACTCCTAATGGTAAAATTCTGACCAGGTTTTTGCAAAGGTGAAGGTCAAAATTATGTTAAAACATGTAAAAATTGAGATATAAGTCAAAAACTTGCCTGCAATGTTTATTATAATTAGAAGAACAACAACTTTATAAACATGCTCTCTAAGGTTAATAGATTACCTAGCATGCTAAATGTGTTCACAATCACAATACTGGTGCATCCCTGGCCCCAGGTGAACATCACTTTATCGCTTATTTAGTGAATAATTGAGTGATTTTCACCTGGGTCGGAGGATGTAACTGGTGCATCTAATCAGAACTCAAGGCAAGTCTGATGAAGAAGATAATAAATTCCTGTGTCAGAAAATAAACTACGACTCACTGGAATATGACCATTTATATAGTAAAATAAAAATTACATTTATATGGAACTCATAAGTATATCAATTCTGCCAATACACCTTAACATTTCTACATGACAAATACCTTAACCTTACCAAGGTCAGAAACATAGAGTATGTCGTTGTGTACAGTCAAAAATCTGCACTTGCTCTCATAATTTAAGTTTATAAGGGGTCCAAATGGGTAGCAGGTCCCATAAAATCCATCTGGAGAGATGATGAAAACCCGTGAGTTTCCAGGACATACATCCAATGTAACAAGGTCACCATTTGATGTCAAGGCCAATCCTGAAATGTCATGAAATAATTTGTCATGTTGTCATGTATATATATATATATCATTTAGAAAAAAATTGATGATATACTAATCAGTAATGTTATTTCATCACTGACCTTGAGGTGAAGGTCAAGTATGTGTTATAGTACAAATATCTACATACCTTTGTGTTTAGCATGCAAATATGAGGTCTCATCAGGACATCCTCAATACATGAGAAGTGTATAGCATAGGCAAGACTTTATATGAAATCTAAGCTCTTCCCTGTAATGCTGAAGAAACTACTATTGGGACCTAATTACAGTGCCTTACATACATATGTAACTTCAGCTGTTTATCAAAAGAATATCATTGAGACAAATGAAGTCTCTAAAAGCCTTTTCAGTAAGGAGATTCTGCAATATTGACTATAGGAACTCAATGTTGGTCAGGTAGTGCAAGGGTAAACTTTCTCTTTGGTTCTCTAGTTTTCTTCCAAAGTGAGTCATTGCATTCTCCCATGTGGGCCAATTACATCAGGAGTAATTAATGTAAGTAGATTAATGTATAACTATCCAAAATAAGTAAAGTTAATACTTATATTTAGCTAAATTGTGAAAAATATCTTTTTCATTTCTAATAAAGGTAGAATTCAATCACAACATCCCCAAGCATTACCAATTAGTGGGTAATTTATTATGGTCGACTAGTTTCGCCTCTAGGGTGAGGCTTCATCAGGACAAATTTTCTGACAATTTTCACCCCTGAAGTACTAAAAATGGGGCTCGCTTTTGCATTGTGACGTTATATGTAAACATGTACATAGTACTAAGGGCAGGTAAGCCGTTATATTAACTTAATAAAGTATTTGTATTTAACCATGTCTCCGAGTAATATTTGTTCAGCAATGTTTCTGTAATGTATTTTTACTTTCTCTCATCCAAACACAGGGTGCTGGTGGACTCTGATACATATGCTAATGTCTTGTAGTTCACTTCTAGTGGTTCACTCTTATCTGAGGTGGTATCAGATAAGTCACTCAGAAAAAGGTCTTCTTTTAAAGTTTCCATGCTCTTGTCTTGACAGCTTGTAGGTGCCGGTGAAGTAGTATGAGTTCCAGTAGCCGGTCCTACCTTAAATTTGATAAATTCTAACTGTTGTTTTGTGAATGCCTCTGCTGGTCTATTCCATTTCTTTGGTGTGGTCGCTTCTTTCCTGGTAGTGTCTTCCATTATCTCTGGCTCTATTTTGTAGTAAGGATGTTCCAAGTTTAAGTGGCGGTCATAATGTTCCTTTCTTCCGTAGGATTTTTTTTACATATTTTACACATGTACCTCGTGTTGCTATGCTTTCCATGCACATGGTTGACGTGTCTTCGTAGGTTTCCTATAGAAGCATATTTCTTCCCACAAATGATGCATGGTATTTTAATTCTTACAGGTGCTAGTGCTGACTTCTTGTTCTTGACTTTAGTAGTTTTAGTGTTCGCCATATCCTTAAGTAATAATGTTCATGCCCCAGGGTCGCTGTGTACGTAAGATATGCATCCAAGATTCTTCGGTTTGTAGCCTATTGTTGTGTTTGGATGAGAGAAAGTAAAAATACATAACAGAAACATTGCTTAACAAATATTACTCAGAGACATGGTTACATACAAATACTTTATTAAGTTAATATAACGGCTTACCTGCCCTTAGTACTATGTACATGTTTACATATAACGTCACAATGCAAAAGTGAGCCCCATTTTTAGTACTTCAGGGGTGAAAATTGTCAGAAAATTTGTCCTGATGAAGCCTCACCCTAGAGGCGAAACTAGTCGACCATAATAAATTACTCACTAATTGGTAATGCTTGGGTATGTTGTAATTGAATTCTACCTTTATTAATTTTAATATTTTACTTCATCGCCCTGCATACCTCTTGGTATCCATACCCAACGCGAAGTACCCCACTGATCAACCCTCAAACTTGGAACTGACGTTGGCTCTATTTTCTAGTTGTTTTTCACTTCTAGTAACATGAACCTTGTCCTTTCATCATCCAATATGAAAAATTTCCCTAGTATTTACACAGGGGTAGTAATAGCTCCCTGTCTCAAAAAGACAATGAATACTGACTGTTGATGGGGTGATGAAGCAGGTTAACATAGAACCACAAGCAAATACTTTCACCATGGAAGGATGAGCATCATCATGCAGGAACTTGTGCTATTTTGTAGAAATGGAGGTGGGATGTACAAGCAAAACAAGTTTTGATTTGCAACATTGATGTGGTAATACGGGGTATATACGAGGGACATCTCTTATTCATACAGCTCCAAAACATTTTACTCATGGATAGAGTTGTTATTTTTCCATGGATACTATTACGTACCATAAGGCATGTTGAACTTCCTTGCTCCAAGTCTACACAAATATCTACCACTGGGTGTAAATTTGTGGATACATACGTCATCCTTCACAAATATTTTACCCTCTTTATTTACTACAATAGCAGAGGGACGTGTAAAAGCAGGTACCATCTGTAAAATATTAAATTACACCATTTTATCACTGGAAATGATCATCTTATTCATGAATGCATCAATCTGAATTGTACATGTTAAATATTGGATGGAGATTGGATATTCTTCACAGCCTCTGTAGGGAGTTTTTTCCTTTACAGAAATTTTGTAAAATTATTATAAAGTATAACAGTAACACAAGAACTGTTATGTTAAATTACTTATTCACATGATTACAAAGAAATTAAAGATAAAAGGACATTTCAAATGGGGCACCATTTCAATGAAATGATTACTGAACTGAAATATATATCAAAAGTCTTAATCACCTGCTGACTTGGCACTTATAGCTTCTAAAGAAATTGTTGCGACATTACCCAGTTTTATTCCTTAAACAAGTTATAAAGAAAAGCATCAAAATTTCACACATTTGACCCCCGTGACCTTGATGAAAGGTCAATATGAACAAACTTAATAGCCCTTCATCCAAGCATGCTAAAGGCCAAATATCAACATCATGGACCTTTTGGTTATTGAGAAGTTGTTTAAATATTTCAAAACATTTTACCCCTGTGACCTTGAAAGTGGTTCAATGTTAATGATTTTTAACAAAATTGGAAGCCCTTTATCCAAGCATGCTACAGGCCCAATATCAGTACCGTGGACCTTTTGATTATTGAGAAGATGTTGTTAAAAGTTTTGACAATGTTAAATGATTTTTAACAAACTTGGTAGCATGCTACAAGCCCAATATCAGTATCATGAACCTAAGAAAAGTAGGTCAAGGTCATTCATATTAACAAACTTGGTAGCCCTTCATCCCATCACGCTACAGGCCAAATATCAGTACCCTGAGCCTTCTGGTTATTGAGAAGAAGTCATTTGAAAGGAAAGTTAATGCATAGTGGACAGCCACGGACAAAACATGATAGCTATATGTCATCTGGACTCTTTGTGTCAGATGACCTAAACGGCACTTACTGTATCACCAATGGTATATTTGAAGATTCCATCCTTGTCAAAGACCTTGACCAAATGGTTTCCAGTGTCTGTTACCAGAATGTTGCCATCAAGATCAGTGGTCACTCCAATTGGGAAATGGAGGCATTCTCCAGACCCTCGACCAGGATGACCAAGCTTCACTTCCAACTTTGCTGGCACTGAAACTCCACCTAATATATATTCTTTTTAAAGATATAGAAAAAAAAATGCAACCAGTTAATCACATGATTATACACAGAATTAGTAAACATGTTTACAATTTAATGTAAAATTTACCAATTTTATTAGACACAGAAATAGTTCCAAACAAATGCAAACTATTGAAATCAAACAACTATACAGTATAGAATATGATGAAATTTGTTTCTGAAGGCACAAACAGTTTTGACAATAAATCTGACAAGATCAACAAAATGACAATAACTATGGGCAAATTGTAATTCATGTCCAAAACATTGTATATGAGAGCAAGAGTTTGAAGATTAATCACGGAATTAATCACAACCATAACTCTAAAGAGTGTCACACTAGATTCACAATAATAGGATAAAACTAAACAACAAATCAAATTACAAAACTACAACAGAATTTTATAAAATATCAAATATTTAGTATTAGCATGTATACAGCTTGGTAAGCGTGGAATAGATTTTTTTCTCAGTGTAAATACCTTGATTCTGGTAATTCTTCTGAATGTACTCTCTGATACTTGAAAAAGAACAGCTGGATACTATTTCTGGAACAACCTTTCTTTCTTGAACAGCTTCTGGCTTGTTGGAATCATTCAGCATTGTACCAGAATTTGTTGGTGATATGTTTTTGGCACAGCTACTTTCTACAACATCCGTAGGGCTGCTTTCTGAGGTATGAACAGGAAAAATTAAGTCTAAATGTTCAAAGAAAACTCAAGTAATCACACAAAACCAATTCTCTTTTTACAGCTACAATGACCTTGACCTTTGACCTTTTGACCAGAAAAGCAATCCCAAGCAAGTACCTTTGATAAGGTTATTGTACAGAAAGCATTTTTTTTTCTATTTATAGTAACAGTGGCCTTGACCTTCAAACCTCAAAAGCAATCCCAAGCAAGGGGCTTTGGTAAAGAAGCACTGTATGAAGCATTGGCCATACTCTTGCTCATACACAAGACATCATAAATTATCTAAAATACAACATACCGAGGTCAGGAATCTTCAGGTGAGGTTCTGGAACCACCTGATCAGGTTCAGTCTTTTCCTCCTCCCAAAGTAGGTCATTTGTCACAACCTTAAACAGTGCAAGCAGCAAATCTGTTATTTAAGTTTCAAAATTTTCAAAACTTTAAGAGGGTATTACTGAGGTTGCCTTTGAATATTTCTTTATTGTTTTTAATGAACAATTTTATAGTAACATATGATATCCAACCACAGAAAGTTTGCCAAAAATTATCCAACAAAGCATCTTGCCTCAGCATTGAGACTAGTTACATGGTACATTTTGATTTGAAAGTGTAATTAAGGAATGTACTTTTTTGTTTATATGAGAGAATGGCAGATTTCTAAACATATAAGACTTTAGTCTAAACATTCTTATTTTGAATTCCATACTTGATCATCCCCTTCTGGATAGACAACCTGTGGTATACGAGACTTCTCAATCTCACCTTGACAAATAAAAAAAAAACTGAATTAAGTGGAAGACTACTTCCTAAATAACATTACATAGATGACTGAAAGTTCAAATTTGGAGATATTAAAGATATCAAAAAAGTTGTTTTGAAAAATTGTAAAATTTCATAACTCAAATAACAACCCTAGATAAAGGAAAGTCAGATAATTTTGTACATGCAAACATACAACCATGTGTCATTTCCCAACTTCATTCATTATCATATGTAACAAACTTCACCTAAATTCACACACACTACATTATAATCATTAACTGTTATATTCAAGCACATAGGGTTAAGCCTAAAAACAAAGAAGATTTCAAACCTTCAGGTTCCTTGAACATATGATCATTTGAAACAGTAAGGTCTACTTTAGAAGTGTCTTGTTGCTGAGGCTGTTCATCTTTCTCCTCCCTGTGTCCTGACAAATCAGACGAGTCCTGGCTACCAACTTTACTGATATTCATTAACAGTTCTGTAGCTACTTTGAAAGTTGGCTGCGGTACATTAGTCAGCATATCATCCAGAGACTTTTTCCATCGCTGTCTGTCTTCTGAGCTAACATATTGTACTTCTTGTTCAGATTCTTTAGGTCCAGAAGTCATTGTAGGTTTTAGAAAACTGTCTTCAATTTCACTGCTATTCCCCTGGTCTTTATTGTGGCTAATGCCAGAGATAGCTTGAGTAATGTCACACTTTACCACAGAAGAATATGTCAGGGTTTGTTGATTTAACTCAACCCTCTCCTTGTCCTGTTCATCTGAAGTAACCAAATCTCTAGGTCCCTCTGAAGGTTTTTTGACATCACTAAGATTTTTCAATTTTTTTCCTGCAAGTTTAAATTTTCTCTGTGGTAATTGTTCATTCCTGGCAGCCATTCTCTCTATTTTACAAGAAACATCAGAGCTTCCCACACTTGATTTCTTTACAGTGCTTAGATGATCACTGTTTTTTAAAACACTTGATTCATCATCATTTGTACTTCTAAATTCATCCACAGGGGGCGAATTCTCTGGGTAATATGAGACAACTTTTCCAAGTCCCTGTAGCTCTTCTGCTTTCATGTCTTGGACAAAATCCAGGCAGTCAACATCATCATCCACATCTAAGTCCACTACATTGTTGTTTAGCACCAAGCTGGAACAAATATGTACACTTTGGTATAAATACCACAATTAACACTTGCACGGCTTATAATTTACAGTTTTTGAAATACCATATTACAAACTTTATTTATTTGTTGGTACAGATGGTAGCATGTGAGGAGTCTTTGTGGGATGAAACAGGAGTACCCAGGGACAAGTCACATGTTTGGGTAGGTGACCTCTATCTTTTCATAAAACAGATAACATGTCCCTGTTACCACTCACAAGTTTGAATGAAAATTTGATCCATTAATTCTTAGGATTTCATAAAGTGAAAAATTTCATTGCAGACAAATGGGTAGCTGGACCTCTACAATTTGTCTTGTATGATATATATAGTGTACAATAGTATATAAAAAAAGGGATCACATTCAGTAGCCAGACCTCTACACTTTGTCTTGTATGATATATATAGTGTACAATAGTATATAAAGAAAGGGATCACATTCAGTAGCCAGACCTCTACACTTTGTCTTGTATGATATATATAGTGTACAATAGTATATAAAGAAAGGGATCACATTCAGTAGCCAAGTCTTGGATATATATAGTGTACAATAGTATATAAAGAAAGGGATCACATTCAGTAGCCAGACCTCTACACTTTGTCTTGTATGATATATATAGTGTACTACAATATCCAAATAGAGGGATCACATTCAGTAGCCAAACTTCAACCATTTGTCTTGTATAATACTACAGTATACTCTTCATGTTAACAGATACATAGTGAGCAGGGGATCCCCATCACATATATATACCTCCACCTATTCAGAAAATTGCTGATGATTAACAAGATATCTTAGCTAAATGTACTTCAGATTTTATTTCAAAAGAGATTACCTGGTAAGTGTGACCTTTGAACCTTTCACTGATCATGTGTGATGACCACCAAAATACAACCAAATGTCAAACTTGAACTTTGGTATGAATACAATTTAAAACTGCTGATGTGTGATGACATATCTCGTCTGCAATCTTTTTATTTCAAAGTGTTCAAGGATGACACTTGAATTGTTATCAATAGACTGTCTAATACCAAAATCTAGTCAAGATTATAACTTGCTTGGCATGTGAATCTATCTGTTGGATGGATATAAATGATGTTTGCAATGAATACATATAAACCTGCACATATATGCTCATACATACATATGCTCAAACAGAGACTCAGTTATCATGGTGATACCTCAAATGTATCCATCCCAGTCTTTACACTTGGTAGGGGAATGGGGAGGGAAGAGAGAAAACACTGCAACATTACCTGAATACTTCAATCAAGCGTTTGGCATGGACTTCATGATTTTTAAATGAAGGACCAGAAGCATATCTCAGCAGGCTTTCAACTTCAGTGCTTAAACTCCGCAGTGACTCTATGTCACTGGTCACAGACTCTCGGTACATATCCAAGTATTCAGACTTTGTGTTAAATACTTCTTCCATTTCTTCCAAAGCCTTCTTTTCAAATGCAGCCAATTGCTCATGGAAACTATGGACAGTATGCATAATCTTAGACCTCGTGTTGTCACGTCGCATCATCAACAGAATGGAGATGGCCCGCAGTCTTCGCAGCATGCTCTCTAACTTTGGTACAAGTTTGCCAGCATTTAGTAGCCCACACAACAGTTTGGTATGTGTATTCTCTTCCATGTTTTCAATGTAACTACAATTATGACCAATGAATAAAGACAAGTTAGTACAGTGTTTCTACTCAGACTTCTTCTTTCGGAAATAATGTATTACTTAGATCTAGACACTTCAACCTAGGATATCACATAGCAAGTGATGTTTATCAAGAGAATAAAATACTTACACTTAAGGGACACCTGCAGAACAAACACTATTAATGAGTGAAATGACCAGTCATGTGTATGTACAGTATCTGTGAGTGCAAGTTGTATGTATATTAATGTAGATATATATATAATGATGTAAATACATTTGACTGAATTTTGGGAAGTATAATGTTGAAGAATTTTGTGAAGTAGGGTTGGGGGCTTCCAGGGACGTATATGACATATACGTCCCTGGGGCTTCTAACTGGAGCAGTCTTGAATATGTAGCCAATGTAGCCAGCAGTAGTCAGAATATGTTCGATATTTTGATTAATGGACTATTGATTTCACTAATCAAGTAATGTCTCTTGTAACTTCAGTATTAATAAAATAATGTACTAGTCATACTTTATTACCCAGGCATTAGTCTGGGTGAAATAAATTCTAGCAATTAATTCTACCCTGTTCCACATTTCTGTCGTTGTGATAACATTAACATTTAGATCAGCTATATATTGTGACAGATCCACATGTCAACACATTGAACCTTAGAGATACAGTTCCAAATATCCTATTTGAAGAATGATTTTGTGCAAATAAGGGACTATACAGGCAAATAGCCAAGCAATTTTGAACAGAAAGGGCTCTAATCCTCTGCTCAGTATCCAGCAGTGAACACCCGAGAGGGGGAAGAATGGGGAAAGATGGCAAAAAATGGAACAAAATAATCTGGCATATTTTGTTTCACTTGGCAATGTGTACACAATTGAATATTTATGTAAAGGCAGCTACATGCCTGAAACAGCTTTGCAGTGGACTCCAGTTCTGTGACATAACAAAACTGACATAAGTCAATTAAAGAATTCTTCAGTTTTTAAATGTCATCTTTTTAAAGGTGATTTTTCATAATTTTGGCTGAAAGTGACATACAATATAGGGTGTGTAGTGGTATTTCAGTTGTAAACGGTGGTAAATAGCTTAAGCATGCATTTTGTTTTATAAATATAAAAAAAACAACGCATTATTTGTCATAAATGATAGCACAATCAATTTCATTATCATTAAATCTTATATTGTTGTTAAATTTGAGAAGATAAGTAATTTCCTTTTGGAGAAAATATGGTTTCTTATCCCTCTGCACTATATGTCTAAATTTTGTATTCCTTCATTTCATTCACCTGACCTTTGGCTTCAAAGCTGCCCATTATATTGAATACCTAAATCATAGGTATCTAACTTGTATGATAAATAGTGGATTGGACTATTGTTTGAGTATGACTATGCCTAAATCTAACACTAGGCTAAATGTCACCAGTTGTGCAATATAAACTGATAAACTACGTTTCGAATTGAACGTTCAACGGGAAATATACAATAGCAATTATACTACGAAACTTTTTGAACAAATGATTTCTGCTATTTTCGCAGTTTTATAGATCTAGTCATATTTCACATATCAAACGTCAGATTCTAGTCTGCGGGTCCGCAACCATGACACAATAAAATCGTGGATTGTCCGAAGCGTTCGGACAAGTCTGATTTTATGTGGAACCAAACAAATACGAGTGTCACTATTTGGAATATATCGGATCTAATGTGTTAGTCCGTAAGCTTAGGTATATCCTATACCATTGCATTGGAATGTTTAGATAGGTCATCAAAGAAACATGCTTCAAATATAGTAACTTTACTTACTTCTGTAACTTCTTATCTATAGTCCAGCTACATTTACCTTATCATCTGACAGAAGTGTCGAGTTCAAGTTTTCTGATCGTCCGTGCAGTAATTTAGTCGGGTCCATTCATTTGTCACAGAGATGTTATCACAGGATTTGCCAGTCATATATTCCAAATAAACGGATTACAAGAATACTGCAATAACTATTCCTTACTTTCCATGTCTATTATCTTTACATTATGACTTGTTCTCAAGATTAATGATGCTTCGAATAATCAAGTATAAGCAGTTAAGAAACCTGTAACTCCTTTTAGTCATCACCATATGAACTCGCCCAATGGATCTGACGGATTACTATATTTTTCATTGGCTTACATTTCTCAATCACATTTGTATAGTCTTAATATTGCAAATGTAAACAAATAGAATATTTAAATATCATTATTATTATTAACTTCTTTATATCTTTTCTTGTTTTATTTTTTAATGAGTGTGAAAAAATATAAAAATAAAAACACGAGACTACTGGATCTGTCATCAGGAAGTATCGATTGTGGCAAAGTTCAAAATCTAAATGAGTTTTAGTATTTCCATCCAAAGTCTTTACGGTAAATGATGAACCTAGTAACATCTGCTTGTATCCTTTTTATGTTCCCGCATTAGTTTTATCCTTCTGCCTCGTTCAGATCAGATCAATGCAATCCTCAGCCTCTCAACAGATTTGGTAATCACAAATTTCTAACTTTAAACTTATGCGATGCACATAGGTCAAAGTTAATGGCTCAAAGGTCACGCTTGATATCTTATGCAAATTTAAGTTGTTATACTTAGTGCATGGTAATATACATGAACGATGAAATGGGCATCTGTCTTGCATAGACATAGCGTTATCTATTACAAACGATACATGTATACAAATACTTTCTTTCCAGAAAGTGACACGAATGAGCCTCCTTCGTGTAGCAGTAGTACAACGCCATACACTAGAGGACTCCAAGCACATATTTATTGAAACCCTCACACAAACTAACACGCCCTATGCACAACTACAAAACCTAACACTGGTCATGCTATTTCTAACCGCAAACGGAAACGTAGTGGCAGATGATGTCCTCCCAGCTTCAGTTTATAATGACTTTCGATTACACATGTGGTTGCTGAAACGAGTCCCAGCGAAAATAAAAAAAGAAAAAAACACTCGGAAAAAATGACGGATTTCATATATCTCGAATTCAACATTCTTTTTATCACACGAAATGCTGTACGGTTATTTTCCCAAACATTACAGAAAGCGCGCTATTCATTGAAGACATCTTGGCTCCAACAAGCTATAGCTTCCACTGTTTGTATACGTTGGTGGACATTAAAGTTCCCAACCGAAACCCCCAGTTCTGTATTATTTCTGCATTGGTTTTCAGTTTGAAGACAATCGCTATACTCTGTCTCTTTCTTCCAAAAACCTTAAATAAGGCTATGAATTTACAATACTAAATCACAGTTAAGTACAGATATAGTCCAACTCTAACAACTACTATTTGTGATGGTGTCGTGTGCATACACTTTTTTTTTCCTTCGCCAACACGAGACCGTTTAGCTACAAGTTTGCAGAAAGCGAACCTTTCAAAAAAATAATATACCAGTCTACAGGAAAACATGCAATGACGACTAAAATCTTCATTCTTATGGTACTTATATTAAATTTTGTTTTGTAGAAAAGAAAAGATGATGCCGCTAAGTGAGAGACCGGAAATACTGAGTTACAACTACATGTACGGTTTGGCGACGGGCGAAATAGACCGGATGAACAGACAGCTATTTCACTTAAAATATATCTTGAACAAACAAAGTGGTTAGTATAGATAATATAGTAAACAATTTTGTATTGTGTCCCCGTGTTATTTGCTCAATTGCCTTGTGTAGGATCAGTGATGCCCATAAAATTTGAGGATGATCACTCCTTCTACACGTTGTACGGTATATGTGAATATGCAGTAGACATAATACATAAAGAAGGATACATGTAACGTTATGTTACTTCCGAGATTTCTCGTTTGAATATGCATGACATGTAATTCTTTAGATGATATCCTGTTTTCGCGTACGTTTTCAGTACGCTGTCATAAGTTTAAAGTAGACTTGGCCACTGTATGGCCCAGACGTTCAAGATGTCGTTCGAGTAGCAAAACAGGATTCCAATGATTGTACTAGACACCCTGCAGACTTTTCATCGTGGCTGAAATTCATCAGTGATGAAGTACTAAGAAAAAAAATCCAACAGATCAGTGATGAGGCTGTCATATTGTTTTATCGGGACTATTTAATTTGTTGAATTTTGTAATGGTGTATCGTTTCTGTAACGTTTTGTTATTAATCGCTAGGTATATATCATTTGTATTATCTAATAAAATCTGTATTCGAATTCAAGTAACAAAATATAAACATATTATTGGAAAATGTCCTTGAAGGATAAAACAGTTGTATGTATATATACATGCATACACAAACCGAATTACACACTTTATATTCCAAATACGTCAACACATCCCTGACATTTAATTCACTACCAGTCTCTATCTAATTAAAACTTTGTGTTGAGAAAGATGTTTATCTGTTGTGTACATCTTATGCACATGCACTTGACACGATTTCCCAACCGACAGTCCGTATAAAGGCATCTTAGTCACTATACAGTATGGTACACACATTTACTCTACTGGTACAGCTAGTTCTTGAAGGTCAAATGTCAATTTGGTGCACCTCGGTATTAAGACCACCCGCTATTAAGACCTCTTTCACCCAGACCCTGATGGTCTTAATTAAAGGTTTCACTGCATCCCTGTGTTTTGGGATATTTTGATCATTAAGAAATGTTTATTTTTAACCATTAAGGATCATTATAAGGTTAAGAAGTATATTGCTACAGCTAAGGGAGATTCTTATTTAGAAAAATTCAATGAAGAATGGAGAAAATGGAATAAATTAATACTTCTTTGAACCTATCATAATTTTATTAACCAATTTTTCCCCATAATTTTGTGAACACATGCTTTTTCATCCCCCCCCCCCCCCTTGGCCTTGGCAGTATTTGATATAATTAAAATACTTGTAATTTTTATTAGGTATATTTAAAAAGAGTTTTACCCTATTCATATACAAAGTGTGTCTTAACCAGTCCATCTCTCTTCCCCCCCCCCCTCT